TCTGAGAGGTGTAGGCAAACTGGCACTGGTCAGATTGTTGATCGCTGCCACCCACCCCACGTACAATCGTCACCACTACCCGTGGAGGTGGTGGCAGGGGGGAATGGGCCTGGGTAACGACCGTCACGCGCCATATGCGAAGGTAGAAACAATCTCCACCATGCAAGGACGGCAGCAGCAGCTCCAGAGCAGCGACCAGCTCCCAACCCCAGCTCAGCCAAAGTCCAACTTGCCAGATGTATGATGTCTTGATTTTGGGAGAGAGCGCGTTTCACGGGCGCTTGCCTTGGGAACATTCGGCGGCGCCTTTCGAAGCGGGGGGGGGCACCCCCCACCAACACTCGGCGCCGTCGATCAGAACCTGGGAGATTCCCCTCCCCCTAACCCCCCCTCCCCGGCGCCCGCGCTGGCGCGGGCGCTGGCGGCCGCCAGCAGCGCCGACGGCGGGGACGCAGCGACCATGACCAGAGGCAGCCCAAAGGAGGGGGGGGCTCCAAACCCCCCCCCGCCCCCCGCGCCGGCGCTGGCGCCAGCGCTGGCGGCGGCCAGCAGCGCCGACGGCGGGGACGCAGCGACGAAAACCACCACTGCCACCACCACCACCACCTCAACCCACCACCACCACCACCAACCCACCACACAACCACCACCTCCACCACAGCCACCACAGCCACCACCACCAGCACAACCACCACCACCAAATCACCACCACCATCACCACAAAAACCCACCACCACAACCACCACCACCACCATAATCTACCACACCACCACTACCACCGCCACCACCATCACCACCACCACCAGCACACACACACACACAAACCACGACCGCCGCCACAACCACCGCCACCACCACCACCACCACCTCCACAAACCACCGCCATCACCAAAACCCACCACCACCACAAACCACCACCAAACCACCACCAAACCACCACCACCACCACAACCCACCACCACCACCACCACAAACCACCACCACACCACAACCCAACCACCACCACTACCACCACCACCACAACCCACCACCACCACCACCACAACCACTACCACCACCACAACCATCACGACAAACCACCACACCACCACCGCCACCGCCACCACCACCTTAACCCACCACCGCCACAACTACCACCACCACCATCACCAGAAACCACCGCATCACCACCACCACCGCCACCATCACCACCACCACCCACCACGACCACCACAACAACCACCACCACCACCACCAACCACACCACCACCATCACCACCACCCACACCCACCGCCACAGCCACCACCACCACCACCACCACCACTACCACAGCCCACCACCACCACCACCACCACCTCAGAGAGGCCCCAAGAGACACCTAAGAGGCGCCCAGGAATCTGCACAAATGCCCTTCAAAGGCCCCCGAGAGCCCTGGCGCCGGCGCCGGCCCAGAACAGGAAGTCGTCGTCCTAGCCGTCGCCGCCAGCCGCCGCCGACGCAGGCGCCGGCCCGAGGAGAGGGAGAGACGAGAAGTAGGGGAGGAGGGGAAAAGGGCGGGAAGGGGGGGGAGGGGTCGAAACCCCCCCACTCCGTCACGGGAGGGGGGGGGATGGGTTCGAACCCCACCCCCTTCCATCCAGGGGGGAGGTCCGGTTCCAAACCCCCCCTCCCCTCCAAGCGACCACTAAACGCGTTCATTCCTTGATTTTTGTTCCCTGTGGCCACGGAAGTCACGACCCTTCCCCCGGGCCGACCTTTTATCGCGCATGGTTTTTTGACGGTCGCGGGGTGCGGTAAGATCCCCCGGATGCCGAAAACAGCCAAAAACCTCCCGTCGTGATTTGTCAGGACGCGAAGATGTCTGCATTTGCGGGATCCTGCAGGATCTGCCCTTCTCTAGCTGAGCCCCCGTCATGAGGGGCAACGATAGGGGGGACCACCACAGGGAAGGGGGGGCATCGATCTGGAATCGGCGATACGCCGCAGATGGATCGGCGATAGGCCCCTGATAGCGAATCCACGCTCTTGGACAGTGTGGGGCCATCGGGCCCGCATCAGCGATGAATGGGCGATTGGGGGTCGATGCATCCCCCCGGAGCCAACCCCCTTGTGGTTTGGGGGTCGTGGCTCTGGCCTCGGGCGGCCGCTCGGGACGATCTGGCCGCTCCCAGAACTGAGCGAGCAACGACATATGTACATGTACGCCCTCTGCGATCTTGAGTGCACGAACGTCCTCGTTCAAACGCCCTCCAGGGGAAGCTCACCGCGTACGTGTACATATGTTGCTGGCCTCTGAAGAACGCTCTCGGCGAGGCGCCGCTGCTGGGAAGGCGCCCCGAGGCTGGAGAACCGCTGGCAACCTCTCGAACCTCGAGCCCCCGCCTGAGCCCGTTCCTCCCCCCCCCCGCCGTCGCCCCTGGCAGAACGGGCCCTGGGAACGGGCCCCCCTCGGCGTCAGGAGGCGACTAGTGGGAGGTTTTCGTCGGAAGGATGAAAGAGGATTACGCCCCATTGGGGGGGGCTGTTACGCTGGAGTGGGCCTCGGATTGAGCGGGATTTAGCGGGATTAAGCCGGGCTGAGCGGGATTGTGAAGGGGCCCCAGGACACACAAATAAATACACACAAATAAACAGATTCCCCATATCTTCCCATGTTTTCTGGGTTTCTGTCTTCCCCCCCACTTCCCACATTTTCGCCTATTTTCCTGGGAATCGACGATTCATTGTGTCCGTGTGTTTTCTCCCCTCCTGACTGACGTCTGCGCTGACCCCGCTGCCTGCGGGGGGCCGAACCCCGAGGCCCGCGCAGCCGGGCCAGCGCCAGCCCGATCTCGTGGGGGGTGCGCGGCCCGTACTCGAGGGCGGCGTCCTCCAGCGCTGCAGGGGGGATACGAGTAGGGGACAACATGCGAACCCTGCCCCCTACCCCCCACGATTTCTGAGGGGAGGGGGGGTGGTTCACTTCGCTCGGGAGTTCCCGAACGAACTGAACCCCGCCCTCCCCCTCAGAAAGCGTGGGGGGCAGGGGGCAGGGTTCGCATAGTGTGGTCCCCCTAACGAGGACGGCGCCCACGCACCGTACCTCCGGGATCCAACGCTCCAGAAACAATGGAGCGGGCGGCTCTGGGCCGCCTTCGGCCTCCGGGGGCCCTCGCCGGGCCCCAGGACCGCCAAGGCACGACCACGAACGAAGAACTCGCCCCGGGGAAATGGTCCGGGCCTCCGGGGCCCACGCATCGCGAAAACTGCAGCAGTCAGATGTCTGTGAAGGGGCCCTGGGACACACAAATAAATACACACAAATAAAAGAATTCCCCATATTTTCTCATATTTTCTCGGTTTTTGTCTTCCCCACCACTTCCCATATTTTCCCATATTTTCTGGGGAATGGAGGATTAATTGTGTCTGTGTGTTTCTTTCCCTCCTGAGTCTGGGACCATGTCTGATCCCCTTCAGACCCCGCTCCAGCGCGGTATGGCGCATCGAGAAGCGCCAACGCGGCACGAGGCAAACGGGTCATCCGCGGAGGGAAAAAGCATGATGTTCAGAGGAAGGTGGGAAGTCTGGGAAGAAAGACCTGGGGACCTTCCCAGCCCTAGATCGGGAAAGGCCCCCCGGAGGCCTCCCAAGGCGCACCGCCAACGCTCCCCCAATCTGAGCCAAATACACTCTCAAAAAGAGGCGCGCGCCGAAAACTCCCTAAAAAAATACACCGCCGACCACCGCTCGAGAACACTTGTGGCGTCCAAAACCTGGATAGCTGAGCAATCCAAAGCGCGTGAAACGCCGGTGGGAAAACACATCTGGGAAGCTTGCAAGTTCGTGAAAAGACTTTCGCAGAAACTTTCAAAGAACTTCGACGGAATTGTGGAAAGGCTCCCCGGAAACGTATTGGGAAAGAGTAGGAAAACGTTTTGGGGACACGCTGGGGGGTCACAGGAGCTGCGAGGATGCCTGCCAGGGAGCTGCGGAAGGAGAAGCTTTTAGTCCTGCCCGCCGGCTTCGAATCTCGAACCCCCTTGGCTCTCCAAGGAGCTATCCGAAAACGATATAAAATCCAGACCATCAATTGCACATCGCGTTCCGCCGAAGACCGTGCATTCTTCGTCGCCCTCCTCCAGTGGGCGACGACCTCGAGGTTCCAGCTTCTCCGAGGTTCTCACACGTTTGCGTTTTCGTCGGTTCTCCAGCCATGGGGCCCGGTCCAACAGCTGCGCCGAATGGAAGGCGGTCTGGGAGGGCCCGGATCGTCCCGGACGGCCGCCGGAGAGCCGAGGTATGACCCGAAGGCCTCCGGAGCCGTTGCCGACGGCGCGCCAAAGACTATCCCTCAAGAGGGTTACGAGAGGCCTCTTCGATCGGGTTGGAAGATTGCGCCGACGTAAACAGACGCGGAGATAAGGCGACAGCCACATCTTGAGAAGGACCCGCCCTACATCCGTAAAGCTCCAATCGAATCGGCGCGGCGCTAAGGCGAGGGCCACATTTTGAAAAGGACCCGCCCTCCATCCGTGAAAATCCTGCAAACTTTGTGGACGAATGTGCGCGGCGCTGAAACGAAAACCACAAATTGAAAATGAACCACCTCTCACCCGGGAAACCGCTGCAAACTGTTAAAACGAATGCACGCTCATGGCGGGAACGACCTATATCAGTTGTGAGACGGAATCTTTCATCCATAGACAATCAGCGGTCCCGCGGGTCGCGCGACGGCTCTGGACGGTGGAAGAGAATTCACCGGACGAGGCAAGGAAACGGGCGACGGGCGAAGAGAAAGGCATGGCACGCAAAGGAAAAAAAACGGAGCCGGGGGGGGGGCAGCGGGCGGCGGGCGGCGGGCCAAGGGGGGGGGGGGCGCCGAGTGGAAAAAAACAAAAAACGGCAAAGTGACGGAACAGAAGCATCACGCGTTTCCTCCCCCCGCCCGCCCGCCCCCCGCCCCGCTCCTCCCCCGCGCCCCCTCGGCCCCCATTCCCCCCATGATCCTGCCCCCCCCCCCTCGCCTCCGCATGCGCACCCGCCGCGAAACCTGACGCACCGAACAAGCAGCGCGACGCAGAGGTCTTGTAGCCCCTCAGATGTACTTAAGTTTTGTCACGCAAGCACAAAGGGCTGCTTGGTGGCACAGGCAAATGGTGGGCGGAAAAACAGTTTCGCCCTCGCCCTCGCCCTCGCCGGCGAAAGGCTCAGCCTCGCGGTTTTCGCGGGCTTGCCTGGAATTGGTCGGGAAGCGTTTTGTTGCCAGGGCCATTCCGTTGCCTTCCCGGGGTCTGCACGGGTCGTTCCTGAAGGGGTGGGAGGCGCCGAGTGCGTCTTTGATGTTGTCTGGGTCTGCCTCTGCCGCAGGATTGTCCCAGGGCTCTTCTTCCCCGCCAAAATCTGGAGAAGGTTTGTAACGGATTGCCCAATGCACTCCTGGAGGGCGACGATGGCCGGCCAAGCCCCGGTGGCGAATAACAGTGTCTGCGGAGGTTCGTCTGTTGAGGAGCGCGCTAAGTGGCGCGATGCGTCCACGGATAGCTCGGGCGATCACGACTTGGCTCCCTGAAAAGCGCACCGTTCAATGCGCTGTTCAGCGCACTGCTTAGCAGGCTCTTCGGCGCGCCGCTTAGCGCGCCGCTCAGCGCACCGTTCAGCCCGCCGTTGAACGCGACGTTTAGCGCGCCGTTTAGCGCGCCGTTCAACGTGCCGTTCAGCGCACGTTTTAGCGCGCCCTTTGGCGCGGCCGCGGACCGCGAGCTTGCGCTGAGCTCGCGCTTGGCTCGCGTGGCCTTCGGCGTCCCCACCCCAGAACTGCCAGGGTCGGCGCCATGCTTCCCCTCGGCTCGACTGGGCACTGGACCGTCCTGCATCAGAGCCGACGTGGCAGGCCATGTTCTCGACCACACCAAATTGCGAACGAAAGTTTAACTGCGCATCTAGCCGCAGCATAGCGCGGGGCGGTTTCCGGGCGCCCGCCGAATGGCACGGCGCGTTCACGGTTGCGCTTTAGCGCAGACGTCAGCGCGCCCCTCAGCGCGCCCTCTACCGCGCTGTTTACTGCGCCGCTCGCCACGCCATTCATCGCGCCGCTCGGCGCGCCGTGCGGCGCGCCGTTTGGCGCGCCGTCTGGCGCGCCGAGGTGGCCAACGTCTTCGTCGACTACCCTCAGCCGCGGATCCAGGGTGAGCTGGATTCGCGACGATGAAAAATCTACTTGTTCCCTTTCTACTCGACCATTCCGTCGGACCCCTCGCCGGCCGCGGCCCTGCCAGAAGGCCCCGCCCGCGGCGAGCCCGCGGCGAAGCACACCGCGAGGGCACAGGCTGCGGCTTCTCTGGGTTCCACGCCCACGGCGCGCGCCGAGCCTCGGGCGTCGGATGGGGGAGGGAAAAGATGGGGGGGGGGGGCCAGGGTGGGCGGAGGAGGCAGGAGAAGAGTGAAGGGAGGGGGGAGGATTTGGGAAAGAGCTCTGCGGGGTCTCTCTGAGACGACCCGAGGAAGCGACCCGGATCCTCTAGCAATTCATCGCGGGCGGCACTGACAGGAGGGGAAACATCGCATCCAAGTGGGTTGCGCCCAAGCGCTGCTGAGTCGCACCATCAACTGCCGAATAACAATTCCTGACGTCTGCGCTCGGCCCAGAGGAAGGGTGCCCCGCCGCACGTTCGAGGCAGCGCTCCAGGAGCAGACCGACGAGAAGCACCATGCGCAGGACACGCTTGAGGCGCTGGCGCAGATTAAGCTAACTAGCCAGCTGGTTAACCTCGACGGGGGCGCTGCGGAGTGCGCATCGCCCTCTTCTGAGTGGCATTGGATTCGTTCGCTCTCCCGTTGGGCTTTCGCGCGCGAGGAGCCCAGGCGGCGCGGCGCTGGGGGCACAGCGGGGAATGCGCAGAAAACCGGAGGGACCCGAACAACACTCATCTAGGGAGCCCATAAAGGACGTACGCGCCCAGCTATGTACATGAACACGGCCCCTCGATCCGCGAGACCGGCCGTGTTATACGACCATTTGCGCAATGCGTACTCTCGAAACCAGCGTGGATTCATGTACATGTACGTCCTTTTTTCGCTCCTGATCATCGAATCTGAAGAAAGCGCAAACGGCAAAACTGCATCGAACGAGGGAACGAGAGCAGCACGAACAGCTAAAGAAACGGGCGAACCTGACATCCCCACCAACTCCTCACCTATTCTGACGAGTAATCGGACGCGCGCGCCACCTTGCGTATCCCACACAATACACGACACCAAAAACGCGACCAGAAATTTCAAACATGTTTGATATTAATCCAAAAAGCAAACCTCCCCTCAATAAACATAAGTGTGGTGATACGGATTTCCCGACGCGCGCGGTGCTGAAGCGAGGGCCACATGCTTAAAAGAACCTGGTCTCTATCCCGGAAAACCCTGCAAACTTTTGAAACCAACGCGCGCGACGCCGGCCCGAAGGCTCGCTGTGAAAAGGGCCCGACCTCCATCCGCGCAGCCCCCGCGACTTTTTGACACGAGTGCGCGCAGCACTAAGGCGAGATCCACACTCTGAAAAGGACCCGCCTTCCATCCGTGAGAATATTGCAAACTGTTGCCACGAATGCGCGCGGCGCTAAGTCGAGAGCCAAGTGTTGGAAAAGGCCTGCCCTCCATCCGTGAAGCTCTGGAAAAGTTTGAGCACGAAGATGCGCGACGCTAAAGCGAGAACCACATTTTGAAAAGGACCTGCCCTCCACCTGGGAAAACCTTGCAAGCATGTGAAACGAATGCGCGCGGCGTTTAGGCGAGAGCCACATTTTGAACAAGACCCGCCCTCCATCCGTGAAACCGCTGTAAACCTCCAACACGAAGATGCACGACGTTCAAACGAGAACCACATTCTGCAAAGGACCCGCCCTCCATCCGGGAAAACCTTGCAACATTGTACCACGTGCCATGCGCCGAGGCGAGAGCGCAGTTTTGAAGAGGACCCGCCCTTCGCCCGTGAAGCTCTCGCAAACGTCTAAAACGAATATACGTGGCGCCAGGTCGAGAGCCACACTCTGAAAAAGGGCCCGCCCTCCAAACGTGCAACTGTTGCAAACTTTTGAAACAAAATGTGCGCGGCGCCGAGGCGAGAGCTACGTTTTGAAATTCTAGGGCGCATCAATTCCAGGGGCGGGACGTGACTAATTTTCGCCGAAGGGGGGTCGATAGTTGTGTCTTCAGGTCTGAGACCTCTTGCATGCCTGTTCGGGTCTCTGGGGAAGCCCCCAGGCACCCTCTTGGAAGCAGTTTTAAAACCTCTTGGGGCGCCTTTCGGGGCCTCTTTCGGGCCTCTCTTAAACCTCTTGGGTCCTCTTGGGGAGTCCTTGGAAGCCTGCTGGCGGTCTTCGGGGTGCTCTTGGGGCGGAAGCCTCGAAATGTGGATTCGGATTCCCCCCCTGGGGCACCTCTTGAGGCCCTCTTGGGGCAATCTTGGGCAGTCCTGGGCGCCTCTTGGGCCGTAGCTGCGTCCTCTTGAGCTGTCTTAGGGCCCTGTCGGGGACCTCTTGGGCCGTTTTAGGGCTCTCTTGGGGGCCTCTTGGGGGCCTCTTAAGCCGTCTTGGACGCTGCGAAGATCAAACAAACCAAAAAATGCTGGAAATGTACGCTTTCCTGAGGGGAATGACCCGATGTGTACCTCTTCGGGCCCTTGGAGCCGTCTTGCGGCGTCTTGGGGGCCTCTTGGGCCGTCTTGACGCCATCTGGGGCCGTCCGGAAGCCATCTTGGCGCGTCTGTGACCTATTTGGAACCTACTCGGAAGCTCCGGGGGGGGGGGGGAAGCTCCGGGGAGGCTCCAGAGAGGCCCCAGGGAGGCCCCAGGGGGGAGGGGCAACTTGGTACTTCAGGTGCCCTGGATGATCTTCGGCCCAAGGGGCCCCCAGGGCCAGGTTTCTGGCATATGAGAAGTGATATCCTGATTGTTTCGAGTAGGGGACCGACTACAGAATTGATTTACTCTAAAACTGAAGTTTCAGTCGAACCTAGCAAACATACGTAGAATGTTCGCAGATCTGCGAACAGTCCACATAGCTTCTCGAAGGCTCGATGAAGCCATCAGTTCTGGGGTGAACCGATTCGGTAGTCGATCTCCTGCTCGAATGTTGCCGTATCGGTGGGCGGTGGGGCGGCAGCTCGGGCTCGCGCGCCGCCGAGGCCGCCGAGCGGCTCGAGGGGCCCGCCGAAACGCCCCCGGGGGGAAGGCGCCTCCCTGCGCGCCCGAGGGGGGCGCGCGGCCCGCGGGGGCGGGGCGTCCTCGTCCCAGCCCTCGCCCCACCACGAGGGGCCGCGCAGCCCGGGCCCTGGGCGGCGCTGGGGCACCCCCGGTGAGGGAGACGGAGGAGTGCTGCTGCTGCTGCTGCTGCAGGTCCTCCTCCTCCTCCTCCTCCTCCTCCTCCTCCTCCTCCTCCTCCCTCCTCCCTCCCTCCTCCTCCCTCCCTCCCCTCCCCCCTCCCTCCCCTCCCTCCCTCCCTCCCTCCCTCCCTCCCCCCTCCTCCTTCCTCCTCATTCCTCCTTCCTCCTTCCTCCGTCCTCCTCCTCCTCGCCGTCCTCGCCATCCTCTCCCCCTTCCCCCCTTGCCTCCCCTCCCCAAGCCGGGGGGGGCAGAGAGATGGGCAGAGACGATGGAAAAGACAGAAGGAAAGCAGCGACAGAGAAAGAATCAACTGAGAGAGCGAGAAAGAGAGATAGAGTAGGGATTGACCTAAACCGTGTTGTTCGTTTTCGCTTTGTTTGCGTTGTCCCTCGTTATGTCTCCAATCCGCCTTCGCTGCAAAACGAAGTCGAAACAAAAACGGCCGACGAAATCGCCAAAACACCGTTTAGGCCGACCCCTGAGATGGAGAGAGAGAGAGAGAAGGAGCGGGAGCGCGAGTCAAAGAGAGGAGAGGAACACAACGTTGCTGGAGGCAGCGAGACAGAGACAGACCTCGAGGGATGGGGGAGGGGGTAAGAATCCGCCGACCCCCCGGTGCACAGAGGGGAGAAAGCGTGTGAGTGGCTGCCCCTCTCCCCCTCCCCCCCATCTCCCCCTGCCCTGAGGTCCAGGGCTCAGCTTCGGGGGGGGGGTCGACGAGCTTCCTGGCGCCTCTCTGGGCCCTCCGAGCCTGCAGATCCTCTGGCTGCAGACGAGCTGCCGCTACACGGCCAAGGTGTCCCAGGACGGCTTCAACAGGGTACGGAGCCTCCCAAGGATACACCTGAGAGGCCAAAATCCTATGCTTCAACCGCCCTTGGCTCTCCCATGATCTGTGCCCTTCTGCCTCGGTTCTGGACTTCTGCTGCCTCGATGTGGCTCCAAGATCGCCACAAGGAAGCCCAAGAGAGCCCAGAATCGCTCCAGGGCAGCACCGAAGGCCCCCCAAAGCGCCCCAAGAGCATCCCACGAAGGCCCCAAGAGGCAAATGTTTCAGCTCCAGGAGTCCCCTTTTGTTATGGAGGGCCTCCAGGATCGATCCGAGAGGGCCACCACGGCCCCCGAATAGGGCACTCAAAGAGCCCCAAAAGGGCAGTCAAGGCTCCCAAACATGGCCCAAGAGACCTCCAAGATGAATCCAAAAGGCCTCCAAAAGACTCCCAGATGCATTTCTGGATGGGCTGCTAGGCGGATTGACGTGAGCCTCCGCCCAGCAAAATCGCCTCCAGAAAATCGGTCAGGAGGGGGAGATGAGGCCAAATCCACTCAAAATCGGCCCCCAGACCCCTCCCGGGGCCCACCTGGAGCAGGTGTTCACCCTGGATCCGTTTTTCGTCCCTAGACCCAAAAGCTGCCCCCGGAGACCAAGAAGGGCCAAAAACCTTCTCGAACCCAGAACCTAGAACCTTTCGGCGGTCGGCGGAATGGCGTGAGCCTCCTGAACAGGAACAGAGTGAAGCGCACCGCGGGGGTTCGTATCGTGTCGACCCTGTCGTTCGTTTCTGGCACCGAGGGGATTGTTCGACTTTACACGATCGGCCGGTTCCGGAACGTCAGATCTTTCATCTTCTGGGTCAACGGCGGCGTTCAACTGACTACCTACCAGACCACCCCAACCCAACCCGAAGACCCGAATTTCGGGTTGGGGGGGGTACGGGTTCCATATGTGTTTTCTCGATGTTCCCCGACCCCCCCCCAACTGGAAATGGAGGGCAAATCGAGACCTTCGGGTTGGGTTGGGGTGGTTTGGTGGGTGGTGATCAACGCCAGCGGCGGGGTTGCCGCCGGTCGAAACGAAGCGAATCTAGCATCGAGACAAGGAGGAACAAAGAAGGCGAAACGCGTGCGCAGGGCAGCGGGGCTTCCTCCCGAGCGCAGCGGGCGCTCGGCGTCCACCAGGTACTTCTGAATCAGGGCGACGTCGAAGAGGAAGAGCACCACGAAGCCACCGACCTTCTCTTGGCAACTGATGGAAGCCTCCTCCTCCTCCTCTCGTAGGGAGCCCACAAAGGACGTACGCGCCCAGCTATGTACATGAACACGGCCCCTCGATTCGCGAGACCGGCCGCGTTATACGAACATTTGTGCAATGCGTGCACTCGAAACCAGCGTGGATTCATGTACATGTACGTCCTTCTTTCGCTCCTGATCTCGCTGCGACAAAAGTCAAAGGCGGGAAGCTTCTGGCAGCCTTCGGCCTCAGGGGGACCCCCGCTGGGCCGCGGGGCCGTCGGAGCTCGACGCGGGGCGAGGAACCGGCCCCGGGGACGCCGGGTCAACCTCCTCCTCCTCCTCCTCCTCCTCCTCTCCTCCTCCTCCTCCTCCTCCTCCTCCTCCTCCTCCTCCTCCTCCTCCTCTCCTCCTCCTCCTCCTCCTCCTCCTCCTCCTCCTCCTCCTCCTCCTCCTCCTCCTCCTCCTCCTCCTCCTCCTCCTCCTCCTCCTCCTCCTCTCTCTCCTCCTCCTCCTCCCTCCTCCTCCTCCTCCTCCTCCTCCTCCTCCTCCTCCTCCTCCTCCTCCTCCTCTCCTCCGCCTCCTCCTCCGCCTCCTCCTCCTCCTCCTCTTCCCGGGGTCGGCGCTCTGAAAAATCACGAGGTCGGAGTTCCGGGGTGCTCCAGAGTGTAATGTCGCCTACACTGTCCCCAGACTCTGTGGCAACTCGTGGTGGCCGTCCATGTCGTCCTGCTGGCTCCTGCGACTCGACGCTGTAACCGACGCTGATCGACGCCAGTCGACGCCCATCGACGCAAAATCGACGCTAATCGGCGCTGATCGACGCTGAAATCGGCGTGATCTCATTGATTACCAGACGCTAACACGCACGCCAATGCACTCGAAAGACACAATTCCGAGAACATACAAGGGCCCCATAACTTGCGACCGAGACAGATCTAGATGCCGGAAGAAAACAACTGCTATCCACGCCCAGGCACCACGTCAACCCTCAAAGCACGCGCCCACCCCGACCCCTGCAAGAAAATATTGAGCGCACAGCTTTCTCAGAACGCATTCCAAAGATTAACGATCTCGGAGGAGCTATCGTCCAGATTTGGAAAGGCATCTGGCCGCTTGGCGCCATGAGCTGCAAGCCACAAGACCACCGTCAAGATCTTGGAACTGGAACGCCCCCACAAGCACACACACACACAGATCCCCTGAAAGCCCTTGCAGAACTGCCTGATTACTCGCCTTGCTCATACATGCAGAAACGAGTCGATCGAAAGCTACGACTGGAGGGACACAAAAGTACCAATACCGCTACTCCGTGAACCTCTCCCGGGTTGCGTTCTGACCAGAATTTCGAAGCGAATCCGGCCGTTGCGACGAGGGCCTCCCAGGAGGCCCAAAATGGCCAAAACGAGGGGAAGGGTAGCGGTATGTGTACCCTTTGCTCCTCTGAGAGTGGATCCCAAGCTGCGGCAGCGAAATCGATCGAACTGGGCGGCCCTGCGATGGCCGACGGTGGAGCAATGGCAGCGACGCCAGCGAACGCCGTGCAGCCACAACTGGGTGAGCTGTGGTCGTTACCCCCCCTGGGGGAACCGATCGCATCAACGATCTCGCGAGAGGGATGTCGAATTCGATGGGTCCCCCAGGTGGGGCACCCAAAGGTCGGAAGAAGTGGGCAGAAGCATGAAGTCGGAAGGCGTTGGAAGTAGTTTGGGTATCCACCCGCCCCCGAGGGAGGTAGGAAGGAAAACCGCCCGATAAATGAAGTAGTAAGGCACCTGAAAAAACTTTGACCCAGGGATCCCATTACTCGACGCGGGGATCCCCATACGTGCATCTCATAATCCTGTCCCGCTTCGCTGTGGAGCTCTGTCTATGAGCATCTGGGTGTGAGAGCGCGTCCGCGTAGACGACAGGCGCGGCAACGACGACGACAGCGACGACTTCAGTGATGTACTCCTCCTCCTCCTCCTCCTCCTCCTCCTCCTCCTCCTCCTCCTCCTCCTCCTCCTCCTCCTCCTCCTCTGGACATCTTTCAGAAAAAAAACAAGGGAACACACAAACGGAAGAGCGAAGGGGAGTTCCTCTCGCCGTTCTCCCCGCGACATCTCAGGCAAGCGCGCACGGCGTTTCTACGCCCGCTCTCTGGCGTGTTACTCGCGGCGCCTGCTGGCATTTGGGGGTGCCCAAGTGCCGCGCCAGCTATGTCGCGATAACCAAGTGTGTGAGCCTTAGTGCGAGTGAATCTGGGCGTGAGTGATCTGAGTGTGAGCGAGTCGGAGCGTGATTGGATCCTGACCGATTGAGCCTGTGTGTGATAGTCAGCGTGAGTACGAGTGGGTCTGAGTGTGAGAAAGTCTGAGTGCGAGCGAGTCAAGTGCGAGTGGGTCTGAGTGTGAGTGAGTCTGAGTGTGGGTGAGTCTGAGCTTGACGCATGAGTGAGCTTGGGTGCGAGGTAGTCTGAGTATGAGTGAGTCTTGGGGCTGAAGTCGGAGTGTGAATGATTCTGAGTGTAAGTTGTTCTCGGTGTGAGTGAGTCTGAATTTGAGGGAGTCTAAGTATGAGCGAGAAAGTATGTGTGGGTTTGCGTGTGATCGAACATGATTATGAGCGAGTCTGAATGTGAAGAGGGAGTCTGAGTGAGAATGAGGTGTTGATGAATAAGTCCGAGTGCGAGTGAGTGCGTCCGAGTGGGGAAAGGAGAAGGAGGTGAGTGGGTGAGTGAGGAGCACACAAGTCCAAAGAGAAGTCTGGGGGTGCAGAGACAAGCAAACCACCTGAGACATCCCCTCAGTCTGAGGGCGATCCTGAAGTCTCCCCACCCCTGGCGGCTCCGCCCTGGGCTGCCCAAATACCACCCCGCCATGTCGCGGTGGGCATTAGACCAGCAACAAACGGAAAGTCTGGGGGGGGGCAGAAACAGGCAAACCGCCTGAGACATTCCCACAGACTGAACGCGAACCCTGAAGTGTCCCCACCCTTGGCAGCTCCCCCTTGGGGTGCCCGAATACCATGTCTGCTAGATCGCGGTGAGCCGGTGAGCATTGGACAGCAGCAAATGGGGATTGTAACAGGCAAACCGCCTGAGACATCCCCACAATCTGGACGCGAGCCCTGGAGTGTCCCCACCTCTGGCGACTCCGCCTTGGGGTGCCCAAAGGCCACGCCTGCCATATCGCGGTGATCAGTCAGACAGGCAGACCACCTGCGACAGCCCCACGACTTGTTTTGAAAGCAGAGGGTGTGGGATCTGCGAACAGGCAAACCGCCCGAGACATCCCCGCAATCTGGAGCGCCCCCCCCTTTAGGAGTGCTGAAACCAGCGCCTCGACTGAGACATCCTCAGAGTCTGCTCCGAAAGCGGAGAGTATTGGGCATGCAAACAGGCAAACCGCCCGAGACATCCCCACAATCTGGGCGCAAATCCTGGAGTGTCCCCCACCCCTGGCGCCCCCTCCCGGGGTGCCCAAGTGCTACTCCTGCTATATCGCGGCGAGCATTGGACCACCAATGAGTATGAGTGAGTCTGAGAGAAAGTGGAGTATGTGTGTGATTTAGTCCGAGTGTGATTGAGTCCGAGAGTGAACAAGTCTAGTGTACTGAGTCTGTAAGTCTGAGTGTGAGTGAGTCTGACTGTGAATGAGTCTGAGTGTGAGTGAGTTAGAATATGAGTGAGTCTGAGTGCGAGTAAGTCTGAGCGTAAGTGAGTCTGAGTATGAGTGCGTATGAGTGTGAGTGACTCACTCTGGCTGAGGAAAAGGAGGAAGAGGTGGAGGTGAGGAGGGGGGTCTGTTTGTGTTCTCGGAGCAGTCTAGATAGTTGATATTAAGAGCCCCCTCTCAGGATACGGGTAACAAAACAACTATTTACAACGACTGGTGGGTAAGGACCACAGCTCTCCCGATTGTGGCTGGCCTGGAACGGCGAGGGGCTCAGGGCAGCGGCGTCCCCGAGCGCGCTGGGGCGACCCTCGCGCAGCCCAGCGGCAGCAGCCAGAGCCTGGAGGGAGGGACCGTCGGGCAGCGAGGCGTCTGGTTAGATACCACCCCGATGTGGTCCGAGCACAATCGAGAAAAGCAAGCACGGACCTGGGCCAGAAGAAGATCTCTCAAGAACATGAGACCCTACGCCGGCCAAAAACACGGAGCAGCCAAGGGCACCCTCCACAGCATGCACAAGAACATCGCACAACACACAAAGAACACCAGGGTACCCTCCCCGAACCAACCTCGATGGCATACCTCAGTCCGACTGAAATGAGGATGCGCGGCAAGGACGCAAGGGCCTTGGAAGGCCATGCTGAAGTTTCTCGAAAGGGGTTGGCCCGCGAGAGTAGCAAGGGCCGAAGGGGCAAGGATGCAGAGCGCAGCGCCCCAGGCGCGGAGCGGGCAGGGATGCCCGGGGGTTGCAGACCCCTCCCCCCAGCGCGCGGAGCGCGCCAGGGGCGGCGCTGGAAGCGCCGCCAGGGGGGGGGCCCAGCGCAGATCCAAGGAATCCGCGCTCGGCGCCAAGAGCTTACGGCTATGCCGTTCCTCTCCTTCTTCGACCGACGCCGCGTGGATCGCTCAACGGCGGCTGTTCGATCGCCGGATCGCTCGACTCTGGGCCACCGACGGCGCTCCATCTTGGACGCCCGCGGCGGGGTCGCCGCCGCGTCGATCATTATGACGCGAAGCCCTCTCCGTGCCCCAGGGCCCTCAGAGGCCGACTCGTCGGCGCGAGAAGCTGGTCCTGGGGAAGGGGTCAGGGTCCAGACGTCTGGGGGTCGTTGTCTGAGAAAGAAACCCAAAAACATGTATTAAAAATTAATAAACGACGTAGGAGATCTGGGATGCTCAGAAGTGTGATGTCGCTAACACTGGCACAGGAGACCAGCAACCTGCTGCTGCACCCTCTGGATGCACCCCCCCCGCCCCGCAGATGCCTCCCACGCGCCGCCCTTGAATACACAGTGTCCTGTTCGGGGAATCGCCCTGCAACAGTCGGGATACTGTGCCGTGGTGGACGCGCCCAGGGATGGAGCAGGAAACGAACAACTGTGACAGGGAGGCTCAGGGCAATGGTACCTGGGAGCCGCGGTCGCGGGGCACTCCCAACTGTATAGCAAAAGGGAGCGGGGGGGGGGGGAAAGGGGGTCTTGGCAAGGGGCCGCCCTTTCGTGGCTGGTCGGGGGGAGGGGGTCCCGAAAAGCCTCGTCCGGGAGGCTTGTGGCCCCCAAAGAGGTTCGTGCATGAAATTCGGAGGGCACGACGCGGGCGACTCGACGTCGGGCCAGCAGCACCCACGGGCGGGGAAGGGCACGGCAAAGGGGGCCCGACCACGAGCCCGAGCGTGCCCGGTGTGGGAGCAGACCGCTGGACTGCTCTGCGGCTGCCGTCGGACCAAGCGGCGCACCGAGTCGCGAAGCACCGCACAGCACTGGCGACAGCGGAGGTGCGGGCATGATTGATATCCATATCCACTGCATCTTGGACCTTCTGGGAAGGAGCGCCAAAAGGCCGAGGAGCAGTGGAGATGGATAAAAGTCTGGCCTCTATAGGTGTCAGAACTTTCTCCATATCCACTGCGCATCTGGTCTTCTGGGAAAGGGAACCCAAAACTCCAAGACGCAGTGGATATGGATACAAGTGTGGCCCGCAGGAGGGGAGCGCGCTGGAGCGACGAGACCAGCCAGCGTGTTTGAAGCACGAATGACCCTTTTTCGACCCGCTTCCGCTCAGACGCGTCCACGCGGGGGTCCAGCCGTTTATCGGACGCATGCCCTGGAAACGGGTAACACGTTCGAGTGGTCTCACTCAGAAACGCGCACGGGCCTCGTCACCAAACTGCCTGCGAATGCGATTGTAACGAGAGCCAGCAGAAAGCGATCGCACAACGTGACGACAATAACTTCAATCGAATTGCTCCAAACCAGAAACACAGCCAACGCTAGGACGGGGCGCTGCTCACCAGCGAATACTAGCGGTCACTACGGCGACCATTGTGGCACACTCCCACTGAGGAGCCACGCTGCCCAAGACTGATTTGGTAAGCACCCCAAGCGAGCCTTCTAGACGGTCGCTTCGCGCCGTGGACGTGGAGTGCGCGGCCCATGGATAAAGACATAGCATGTAATTGTGGCGACAGCGTGGCCGTCAGCTGCCAACCAATAAACTGCCCTCCCACTACGCGAACAAGGCGTATACATACGTATGCGTCTTCTTTACACTGCGGGGTAACTGCTCAAGTCGAGCATGAGTTGGCCGCAACGAAGTCAAATGCCAGAAGCGAAGTGAAACTTCCGAAACTCTGCCCCGACAACCAGGAAGGAGGCATTCACCTGCACAAGGGATGCTTTGCGATCGACCGCTTCCCATGCGTACGGTGGGATCGTGTCGTGACGACAGCTGCGTTGGTTTCTGACACCCTGTGGATCGCTCAAGCTTGAACGATCGGCGGCGTTGCGATCGCCAGACCGTTCCACACTGACTGATTCTCCGCCACGGGCGGCGTGCAACCCTGAACGCCCGCGGGGGGCGTCCTCGCCGCGTCGGCCTCGGGTTGGCCTGGCAGGGCCGCCGGGAAAAGGACTAGACCTACTCTGAAACTCGACGCGAGCTCCCGCGGCAAACATCCCACGGAACCTGAACCGTCAAAATCCGGGACGGGATCGTCAAAAACGCGTCGGCAAATCCGAGTTCTGGTGAACTCGAGTCTGAAGCTTCCCCGAACCTGCCAGAGAATCCCGAAGACGGCGCGTGACTCGGCCGACTTGAGGACCACGGCGGCGTCCGCGCTGTGGTGATGCCTGTCCGATTCCGCGCTCTCGCCGCTTTCTGGCTGCTGGCCTTCGACACGAGCGCTCTCCCTGGGAAGCCGACAGTGGCACAACCGAGCTACCGCGGGTTCGTGTCGCGTCGACCCCAGCGTGGGTTCCTGACACCACGGGGATCGTTCAACCTTGAACCATCACCTCTTCCCGAAACGTCAGATCGATCAACATCGACCGATTCTGACTCGCCGGCGGCGTCCAATGTTGAACGCTCGCGGCAGGGTCGCGGCGAGTCGACGCGACGCGAACCTGCCGCACCGAAATGATCGTTGGGGGGGGGGACCGGCTCAGGAGGGGAACATCGGCCTTGGGTCGACGATACATCGTCGACAGAGCGGCGATAGGCTCTGCCTAGCGAATCCGTGCCCCTATCGGCAATCATTGGGCGATTGGGGATCGATGCATCCACCCCCGAGCCTATCCCCCACTAACGTTGGAAGCGGCCAGGGGGTCTGCACTGGATGGGCCCCGAAAAAATCTGTCACGAAGGGGATAGGGACAAATCCGCTCAAAACCGGTCCCCAGACCCCTTCCACAGGGCCCATCTGGTGCAGTTTGCCCGAGAAAGGCCCCCGAAGACCGAGAAGGGCAAGAAACCTTCTCGCACCCAGAAACTCGAGACTCGCCCCCCCTTCCTGCCCGCCAGAACCAGTGCTGGGCCACCTCAGACCCCTAGCCGGCTCCAACCCCCACGTGGCCCCTGACGAAACCTCCAACGACGGCGCCGGCGCGCCCACCCCCTCGGCGCCACTCGCAGGAGCGTCACCAGGCAGGGCGTGACCACTCGGCGCGGTGCCTCCAGATCGCTGCGCACAGGGCGGGCCCGAACACAGACGACACCACTCCGCCTGCGGCCCCACGGAGCTTAGCGTATGATTACCAGCAGATCTGGCGCGGGCTTGTGCGTGGTGTGCGCCACGGCGCCCAATGGGCCGTGGCGCAACATGGAGGGCCGTAGGTGGGGTGGGTGTCGTTGGCTCTTGGGCGGCGGCCCGCGTGCCTCGGCCTGGCCCCCCCCCCGAGCGTCCCGCCGCGCACGCACGAGAGGGGCCCTCGGGCAAAGGGTCGCTCTGACGCGCAGCTGGGCGTGAAGCGTGACCCCGGGCCCCGGGGCCTTCCCCGGGGACCAGCGCTTCCTCCTGAGCCGCTTTAGGACGGTCCCAGGGCCCGTGCAGGGCCGGAAGCCCAAAAAACGAATGAAAAAACCTCGCGACCCGTTCCCAGACATCCAGCGTCTCGACTTTTTCGAGACACGGGCCCCGACCTCTCAACCACTTCCCCAAGACCAATTTATGTCCTGGATCGTTTTTGTTACAGCCCCGAGGCCTGGTAAGGACCCTGAGAAACCGAAAACTATGTCTGTTTCGATGTTTGGGGGGACGCTGGATGTCCGGGTCAGGACCCGCGTGGCCTGAGCCCCACTGGCCGACTTACCCCCCTAAATGGGGGTGTAGGCCGAGTTGCCCCCCAGATGAGGATCGGGATCGATAAAACGATACTGAGGCGAACAGCTGCATAGTTGCCACGCCATGCAGCGCATGATTACGAACACACTGCCGCATGATTTGCTGCAGGCTTGCATGCATATATGTTTGTTGCGCCATCCGTAGCCGCCGAGGCTCGAATCTAGAAGTCATCCGACACGTTCTGGGTGCCAGGCTGAGGAAAAAACTGCGCAATCACAGCTTGAGAGCTCTTTGGTTTCATCCCCTTTGGCGGCGCTTAGTAGGGGGGGATAAATGGGAGCGGCAGAAAGGTGCACTTCTCGGGCGCCGAGGGCCCCCTTTGGGGTCCTCAAGGGCCCCTCCAGGGGCCCCTCAAGGGCCCCTGTTCGGCAGCCCTCGCTGCCCCCCCCCAATTGGTCGCCCCCATTACGCGGCCTCCAGGAGGAGGCGGGAGGCGGAGGCGGAGGCGGAGGCGGAGGCGGAGGCGGAGGCGGAGGCGGAGGCGGAGGCGGAGGCGGAGGAGGAGGAGGAGGAGGAGGAGGAGGAGGAGGAGGAGGAGGAGGAGGGTCCCCCTCGCCTGGCCCACTGCCGGGCTCGACGGCGGGCAGCACCCCGACGGCCAGGCGCTCCGGCCGGCCCGGGCTTGTCCGGGGGGGCGCCGGGCTGCCGCGCAGCCTGCGCATCCAAGGCGCTCGGCGCGGGTGCCGATTGCGCAGGCTGGCGGGGCGCTGGCGCAGCGACCCTGCCCAGGCATCCCTGGCGTCTCGAGAAAACATCGAGGCGGAGGCTTCTCCTAGTTTCTGGCCTCTTGGGGGCCCTCGCCGGGCCTCGGGGCCGTCAAAGAGTGGCTCCAGGGAGGAGAAGCCGGTGCGGGGGTCCGGGCCGTGCCTCGAAAAACAATCGAGGCACCAGATGTCTGGGTGCGCGGTGGCCTGGACAGGCCGCCGGCGTGCCACACCGCGTGGAGACGAGGGCGCCCGCGCGCGACGGTGCGCGGGCGGCTTACGCGCGAACGTCGGCACATTCAGACTCGTTCTTCTGCGTCGCTCCTATGCGCAGTGTGCGCGTGCGCCTTCTGCGGTCCTGCGTGCGCGAATGTCCGCGTTACAGCGCAGTCCCGCGGAGTCTGGCCGCGTACGTGCACGTCTGTTGATGGCTCGCGCAAGGCCAACGGCTCGCGCGCCATCCGCGCACCTGGCCCTGGGCCCGGATCGTTGGGCCGGGGGTGAGGTTCTCTCTCGCTCACTCTTCCCCTTTTTCTCTCTCCCTCTCTCTCTCTCTCTCTCTCTCTTTCTCTCTCTCTCTCTCTCTCTCTCTCTCTCTCTCTCTCTCTCTCTCTCTCTCTATATATATATATATGTATGTATGCATATATATATATGTGTGTATCCTCCTTTATTATCTATCTCTCTCTATCTCTCTCTCTCTCTCTCTGTCATTATTTATTGTTTCTTTCTACCTTTCTCTCTTTCTCTCTTTCTGTACTTCTATGTGTACAAATGGAAGCACACGCACACCATTGTCTCCCTAACTCACTCTCACTCTCACTCTCTCACTCTCTCTCTCTCTCTCTCTCTCTTCCCTCCGTCTCCTCCTGCTTCTCATCATTCACCTTGTACTCCTTGACCTCGTCCTCCTCCCTCTCCTTCGCTTCCTCCTCCTCCTCCTCCTCCTCAGCATCATCAGCATCATAATCAGCATCATCATCAGCAGCAACACTATCATCATCACCATCATCACCATCATCATAACCTGTTCCTCCCCCATTCATGTTCACGTCCTCATATCATCATCTGGAATGGACTACCGCGACCTTGAGTCCTTGACCGCACGCTGACATTTCTGTAGCACCTAGCAGATCCCGTCGAGGCCGAACACCAAATGTCCGCCGACGAACAAACATACCACGCAGTTGGGCCCTTAGACAAGCCAAGGAGTACTCTGCCTGTGGAGGGCCGAGGCGAGACAATGGCCAGCTCCTGGGAAACCCTGACTACACAGAACCTCTGGCCTGAGGGCTGAAAACCCAGACATCCCGCGTCTCGATTTTGTTCGAGGCGCCTCCGACCTCTGGACCACTTTCCCTGGGCAAGCTTTTCATTTCGAGCCGTGTGTTGACGGCCTCGAGCCGAAAACTATGAAAACCCTCCGTCTCGATTTTCTCGAAATCGCCTGATGTCTGGGAAAGACCCCCCACGTCAGGGCCCCCGAGCGGCCGAAAACCACGAGAAAACTCCATCTCGGTTCTTTCGAGACGCTGCACCACCGATAGCTGCAGCGGGAGCGGATTCTGCGGATCCAGCTACCGCGCTCGGAGGCGGAGATGGCCTGTGCTGGCCCTTGGGGCTCCGAGCCTCATCCACCTCCTCATCCTCCTCCTCCTCCTCCTCCTCCTCCTCCTCCTCTTCCTCCTCCTCCTCCTCCTCCTCCTCCGCCTCCTCCTCCTCCTCCTGCTCCTCCTCCTCCTCCACCTCCGCCTCCGCCTCCGCCGCCGCCGCCGCCGCCGCCGCCGCCTCACCTCCTCCTCCGCCTCCTCCTCCTCCTCCTCCCCCTCCTTCTCCTCTCCTCCTCCTCCTCTCCTCCTCATCCTCCTCCTCCTCCTCCTCTCTCCTCCTCCCTCCTCCTCTCCTCCCTCCTCCTCCTGCCTCTCCTCCTCCTCCGCCTCCGCCTCCGCCTCCGCTCTCCGCCTCCTCCTCCTCCTCCTCCTCCTCCTCCTCCTCCTCCTCCTCCTCCTCCTCCTAGGTCTCCTCCTCCTCCTCCTCCATCCTCCTCCCAGCTCATCCTGCTCCACCACCCCCTCCTCCTTCCTCCGCAACCCGCATGCGTTCCCCCCCACCCAGTACAGCGCTTCGTGGCCCCATAGGGGACTCCACCGAAGGACCCAGGGGCGCAGCCCACATGCGTTTCACACACCCAGTACAGCGCTTCGTGGTTTCATGGGGAGCTCCACCGAAGGTCCCAGGGGCGCAACTCGCATGCGTCTCCCCACTCATTACGGCGCTTCGTGGCCTCATAGGGAACTCCACCTAAGGTCCCAGTGGCGCAGCCCGCATGCGTCTCCCCCACCCAGTACACCGCTCCGTGGCCCCATAGGGATCTCCACCGAAGGTCCCAGTGGCGCAACCCGCATGCGGCCCCCCCACCCAGTACAGCGCTGCTTGGCCCCATGGGGGGCTCCACCGAAGGTCCCAGTGGCGCAGCCCGCATGCGTCTCCCCCACCCAGTACAGCGTTTCGCGGCCCAATAAACAGATCCACAGAAGATCGCAATGGCGCAGCCCGCATGCGTCTCCCCCACACAGTGCACCGGTTCGTGGCCCCACAGGGATCTCCATTTAAGGTCCCAATGGCGCAGCCCGCATGCGCCTCCCGCACCCAGTACAGCGCTCCGTGGCCCAATTGGGGGCTCCACCGAAGGTCTCAGTGGCGCAGCCCGCATGCGTCTCCCCCACCCAGCGCAGCGCTTCGTAGGCCCGCAGGGAGCTCTACCCAAGGTCCCAGTGGCGCAGCCCGCATGCGTCTCAGCCGCCCAGTACAGCGCTTCGTGGCCCCATAGGGGGCTCCACCGAAGGCCCCAGGGGCGCAGCCCGCATGCGTCTCCCATACCCAGTACAACGTTTGGTAGCCCCGTAGGGAGCTCCACCGAAGGTTCCAATGGCGCAGCCCGTATGCGTCCCCCCCACCCAGTACAACGCTTCGTGGCCCCATAGGGAGCTCAACCGAAGGTCCCAGTGGCGCAGCCCAGATGCGCCTCCTCCACCCAGTATAGCGTTTCATGGCCCCGTAGGAAGCTCCACTGACAATTCCAGTGGCGCACCCACCCAGTACAGCGCCTCGCGGCCCCACAGGGAGCTCCACCGAAAATCTAGTGTCGCAGTCCGCATGCGCCTCCCAACCAGTACAATGCTTCGTGGCCCAATAGGGAGCTCCACCTAAGGTCCCAGTGGCGCAGCCCGCATGCGTCTCGCACACCCAGTATAGCGCTTCGTGGCCCCATAGGGGGCTCCACCAGGGCCCCGGGGGCGCAGCCCGCATGCGTCTCCCACATCCAGTACAGCGTTTGGTGAACCCGTAGGGAGCTCCACCGAAGGTTCCAATGGCGCAGCCCGCATGCGTCACCCCCACCCAGTACAACGCTTCGTGGCCCCATAGGGAGCTCCGACGAAGGTCCCAGTGTCGCAGCCCGCATGCGTCTCACCCACCCAGTACAGCGTTTCGTAGGCCCAATAAGCAGCTCCACCGAAGGTCCCAGTGCCGCAGCCCGCATGCGTCTCCCCCACCGAATACAAGATTTCGTGGCCCCATAGGGAGCTCCACCTCCTCCTCCTCCTCCTCCTCCTCTTCCTCCTCCTCCGCCTCCTCCTCCTCCTCCTGCTCCTCCTCCTCCGCCTCCGCCTCCGCCTCCGCCGCCGCCGCCTCCGCCGCCTCCGCCGCCCCACTCTCCTCCGCCTCCTCCTCCTCTCCTCCTCCTTCTCCTCCTCCTCCTCCTCCTGCTCCTGCTCCTCCTCCTCCTGTCCTCCTCCTGTCCTCCTCCTCCTCCTCCCTCCTCCTCCTCCTGCCTCCTCCTCCTCTGCCTCCGCCTCCGCCTCCGCCTCCGCCTCGCCTCCTCTCCTCATCCTCCTCCTCCTCCTCCCTCCTCCTCCTCCTCCTCCTCCTCCCTCCTCCTCCTCCTCCTCCTCCTCCTTTTCCTCCTGTCCTCTCCTCTCAGCTCATCCTGCTCCACCACCCCCTCCTCCTTCCTCCGCAACCCGCATGCGTTCCCCCCCACCCAGTACAGCGCTTCGTGGCCCCATAGGGGACTCCACCGAAGGACCCAGGGGCGCAGCCCACATGCGTTTCACACACCCAGTACAGCGCTTCGTGGATTCATGGGGAGCTCCACCGAAGGTCCCAGGGGCGCAACTCGCATGCGTCTCCCCACTCAATACGGCGCTTCGTGGCCTCGTAGGGAACTCCACCTAAGGTCCCAGTGGCGCAGCCCGCATGCGTCTCCCCCACCCAGTACACCGCTTCGTGGCCCCATAGGGATCTCCACCGAAGGTCCCAGTGGCGCAGCCCGCATGCGTCTCCCCCACCCAGTACAACGTTTCGTGGCCTCATAGGGGGATCCACCGAGGGTCCCACTGGCGCAGCCCGCATGCGCCTCCCCCACCCAGCACAGCGTTTCGTAGCCCCATGGGGCTCCACCGACGGTTCCAGGGGTGCAGCCCGCATGCGTTTCACACACCCAGTACAGCGTTTGGCGACCACGTAGGGAGCTCCACCGAAGGTTCCAATGGCGCAGCCCGCATGCGTCTCACCCACCCAGTACAACGCTTCGTGGCCCCGTACGGAGCTCCACCGACGGTCCCAGGGGCGCAGCCCGCATGCGTCTCCACCACCCACTATATCGCTTCGTGGCCCCATAGGGAGCTCCACCGAAGGTTCCAGTGTCACAGCCCGCATGCGTCTCCCCCGCCCGGTACAGCGCTTCGTGGCCCTATAAGGGGGCACCACCGAAGACGATACCTCAGACTGCGGCATTCACAACTGCATTTGGTTGGGTCCTTCGCCAGGCTAATTTCACGACGTCGCCGCCCCCCAGAAATCTCGGCCTAAGTCGTTTTCTGACGTCCCGAGAAGCCGAAACTATTGAAAAATCGCCCGTCGCGATTTCTTCATGACTCGAGGGGGCCTGGCAGATGGAAAACCACACACCCGACCGCGGCAGTGCCCAGACCCGCCGCGGCGATAAGGGGCGGGGAGACCATCTTCGTCTGCCCTGTTGGCCAAGCCCATCCTGGGCCCACGACTGGCATGCACTGGGGGAACCAAAGGGTTCTGGTACCACTGCTCCATGTGGACCTTTCCTGGGGTGCGTTCTAACCAGGATCCCAAGGCAAAGGTGGTGACGAGGGCCTCCCAGTAGGCCCAAGAAGAAAAACGAGGCAATTCTAACGATATGGGTACCTTTCCTCCTGTGCTGTACTACACGGCATCCTGGCGAGTCCAACCCAGAACTCCGACGTCGCAATCTTTGCTCAAAACGTGATCCCCAGAGGTGTAGACTCTGTCCCTGGGACCAGATTCTCGCCCAGAGCCGCTTCCTTACGGTGCCGGAGCCCGGCGAAAGCCCCAAGAGGTAGGTTGAAAAATTTGCCAAAAACCGCACGCCGCGACTTTTCGCATAAAGCCAAGAGGTGACCCAGGCGAGCCCATGAGCCAATTTCGAATGATTCGCGATAACGCCCAGAATCGGCCGCGCCCCCCCCCCCCACACCCCCCCTGGTCACGCCACGATTCCTGCCGGCGCCGTCTGGGAACTATCCAGTCCTCAACGCTCCAAGGCGACACTGGCGCTAATCGCGACGTGACTGGCCCCCTCCACCCCTCCCCCCCCCGCGCGCCCGTTACCGCTGGGGGTCATAGAAACAGCTTCCAAGCCCAGACCCGCGGCGATCTGTTTTTTGTTCGCGACCTCGACCCCCAGAAGGCCCGACCCATTCCCCGAGACTGGCGTTTCATTCTGAGTCTTTTCTTAACGGTCCCGAGGACCGACAAAGGCCCCTAGAGGCGGAAAATAGCGAAAAAAATAGCCTCGCGAAGGACCCAACCACATGCAGCTGTCAGTACCGCAGTTGTGGGTATCGTCTTAGGTGGAGCTGCCTATGAGCCACGGGGCGCTGTACTGAGCGGGGGAGACGCATGCGAACATTGCCACCTGGGCGCATGAGAACTTTGCCACTAGGACCTTCAATGGAGCTCCCCATGGGGCCACGAAACGCTGTGCTGGGTGGGGGAGACGCACGTGGACACCACCACTGGGGCCTTCGGTGGAGCTCAACATGGGGCCACAAAACGCTGTGCTGGGTGGGGGAGACGCACGTGGACACCGCCACTGGGGCCTCAGATGGAGCTCCCCATGGGGCCACGAAACGCTTTGCTGGAGGGGGAGACGCATGTGGACACCGCCACTGGGGCCTTAGGAGGAGCTCCCTACCTGTGCTGCGTGGGGGAGACGCATGTGGACACCGCCATCTGGGCCTTAGGTGGAGCTCCCCATGGGGCCACAAAGCGATGTGCTGGCTGGGAAAAACGCATGTGGACAGGGCCACTGGGGCCTTAGATGAAGCTCCACATGGGGCCACGAAACGCTGTATTCTGTGGGGGAGACGCATGCGGGCAATGCCACTGGGGCCTTAGGTGGACCTCCCTATGGGGCCACGAAACGCTGTGCTGCGTGGGGAAGACGCATGTGGACAGCGCCGTCTGAGTCTTAGGCGGAGCCCCCTATGGGACCACGAAACGCCGTGCTGCGTGGGGGAGACGCATGTGGACACCGCCTCTGGGGCCATCGGTGGAGCTCCCCATGGGGCCACGAAACGTTGTGCTGGAGGGGAAAAACGCATGTGGACACCGCCGCTGGAGCCTTAGATGAAGCTCCCTATAGGGGCACAAAACCTTGTGACGTGTGTGGGGGGGGGGGAGACGCATATGGACACCGCACCGCCACTGGGACCTTCAGTGGAGCTCTCCATGGGGCCACGAGACGCTGTGCCGCGTGGGGGAGACGCATGTGGACGCCGCCGTCTGGGTCTTAGGCGGAGCTCCCTATCGGGCCACGGAACGCCGTGCTGCGTGGGGGAGACGCACGTGGACACCGCCACTGGGGCCATCGGTGTAGCTCCCCATGGGGCCACAAAGCGATGTGCTGCGTGGGGGAGACGCATGTGGGCACTGCCACTCGGGCCTTCAGTGGAGTTCCCCATGGGGCCACAAAACGCTGTGCTGTGTGCGGGAGACGCATGTGGACACCGCCACTGGGGCCTTCAGTGGAGCTCCCCATGGGGAAACGCTGTGCTGCGTGGGGGAGACGCATGTGGACAGCGCTGTCTGAGTCTTAGGCGGAGCCCCCTATGGGGCCACGAAACGCCGTGCTGCGTGGGGGAGACGCACGTGGACACCGCCACTGGGGCTTTAGATGGAGCTCCCTATGGGGCCACGAAACGCTGCGCTGCGTGGGGGAGACGAATGTGGACACCGCCACTGTGGCTTCAGTGAAGCTCCCTACGGGTCCACGAAACGCTGTGCTGTGAGACGCATGTGGACACCGCCATCTGGGCCTTAGGTGTAGCTCCCCATGGGGCCACGAAGAGCTGTGCGGCGTGGGGGAGACGCATGTGGACACCGCCACTGGGGCCATCGGTGTAGCTCCCCATGGGGCCACGAAGAGCTGTGCTGCGTAGGGAGACAACGACAAGACATGCGGAGGGCAGAGGCAGGGATGGGAGGAGGGAGGAGGGGGGGAGGAAGGAAGGAAGGAAGGAAGGAAGGAAGGGAGGAACGCGGGGACCGTCTCTTCCAAACGAGGACCCAACACCACAAGATGGTTGGGAAAAACCGCCATGATTTCTCATGACCGGAAGGGGGTTCCCAAGGGAGGCCGCTGCGGCCCCCCTTCGCCGCTCGACCTGCCGCCGGAGAGAAGCGGGCGGGGGCCGCCGCAGGGCGAGCGGCGCGGCAGGGCTCGAACGACGGCCAGATCGACCCGACCGCATCGCGGGCGGCCCAGCGGCGGCGACGGCAACGAACGGCGCGGGCCCACTCGGCAGCGGGCGACAGCGGACCGCAGCGGCGGCAGCGACGAGGGCAGCGACGACGGCGACGGCGATGGGCTCACCGAGCGGCGGCGGCGACGGCAGCGAGCGGCGAGGGGCTCGAGGCCACGGTGCCCGAGCGAGGCCGCGGCGAGCCCAAGGGAGGCCGCGGGGCCTCCCCTGCGGCGCGCGACCTGCCGCCCGAAAAGAGCAGGGCGGGGGCCGCCGCAGGGCGAGAGCGAGCCTCGGCGGCGGGCGCGCGGGCCCTGCAGCAGCCAAGCGGGGAGCCTGTCGTCGCCGCGGGCAGGTGGAGGAGGAGTACACCCTGCGAAATGCTTAAGAAATCATGGGTTAAGAAATTCATGGTCTCAGAACTTGAATTAAAGCCCAACATGCCTATTCAAATCTTAGGATTTACATTGAAACATTAAGAATAATCGAGACTCTGGACGAAAACTTAGGTTTTCTTAAGCATCGCCTAAGGTGTATGGAACTGTCATGTTCCCATCGTGCTCGAGGGCCACCTCCCACACATCGTTTCGAGCACCCAGACAAGTATCGAATCTGCGTCTGCCCGACACGCCAGCGAGGGGTCGAAGGAGCACCGCTTCCAAAGGCCCGACACGTGCAAGCAGTCCAGTTCCGGTACTTTCGTGGTGCTCGAAAACCATCCGGAAGATCAAGGCCAAAGTAGGTTGGAACATCACAAGTATAGCAGTTAAACGTTCGCTTTGAGGAGGCACCAGCGTGGTTTGGAGAAGGTCGCCGTAGTTCAATGCTCATCACAGCTCCAGAAACATGTATGGAACATGAATGGTGCCAGGATGGAGCAGGAGCGGAATGATATTGGAATAATATAAAGATGCGATAACGCAATAAGAACGGCATCATAAGAGTGAAACAAGAATGAAACACAATTGGTGCCAAAATGGAGCAGGCATGAAACAACAATGGAGCGATAAAGACTTGAAAATGGAGCAAGACTGGGATAACAGTGAAATGGAGCAAGAATGGCGCAAGAATGGAGCACTCATGGAGCAGCCATGGAGCAACAATGAAATAAGGGTAGAATAAGTGAGAAGCAATAACGGAGCACTGCAGTCCCGCGAATGGAGCAATGAGGAACATAAGAGACATGACTCAAACTGACACCTCAACAAGCAGTAACAGCTGCAGATGTCCGCCACCGTGCCTCCGGGCACGGAGCGGGCGTGTCCTCAGGCCCCGGGCCCCATCCTCTGAGCCTCAATCCTCACTCCTGAGGAGCCCTGAAGGGGCCCAGACCCCTCGCTCTCCAATCTCCTGGGGCTTCCCGAGTGCCCCCCGGGGCTTGCCGCGTGCCCCCTGGGCTCCGGGAAGTGCTGTCGCATGAGCTTTTCGGGCCACAGAAGCCGCCCAAGACGGGCCCCGAGGGCCCCGAGAGGCCCCCCGAAGACGGTCCAAGAAAGCCCCAAGTCGCCGAACAGACAGCCCAAGAGGGCCCCGAGAGGCCCCAGAGGAGCCCCAGCGAGGGAACACGAACCGAAAATCCGAGCCTTCCGCTCCAAGAAGGCCCCAGGAGGCCACAAGGTGCGCCGAGGAGGCCCCACGAGGCCCCCAACAGGCCCCAAGGGCCCCAACAGACCCCCAGCAGGCACAAGAAGGCCCCAGGAGGCCCCGAAACGACCCCCAGAGGAGTCCAAAATGCCTCCGAGAGGCCGCCGAAGGGGGCCTCCCACGAGATCCCAACGAACATCCAAGGGGCTTCATATCCACAACCCAGGCACGGTGGCGGGATGGGCCGAAGGGCATTGCATATCCGCCGCCCCCTTTTGCTTTAGCAAAGGGGTGCCTGGCGTGCTGGACCCTCTTGGTTTTGGTTTTGGTTTTGTTTTTTTTTGTCCAAAAGAACTCCCCTTGGCGGCACGTCCCGCCGGCCGCCCGGAAGACGCCCAATTCCCAAACGTTTCGCTCAAGATGGCCCAAGATGGCCTCCAAGATGGCCACGTTGGCCCAAGATGGCCTCCAAGATGGTCCAAGATGGCCTCCAAGTCCGCCCAAGATGGTCCAAGACGGCCTCCCAGACGGCACAAGAGACTCCAGGACGGCCCAAGATGGCCCAAGAGGCCCCCCAAAGGCCTCCAAGACGGCCCAAGAGGCCTCCAAGAGGTCCTCCAGGAGGGCCCGAAGAGGCCGAAAACACTCACTTCCCATGCGTTTTTGAAAGATTTTGGCATTCGCTTCTTTTCGGCGCTCCGACGACCCAAGACGGCCCAAGGGGCCCCCAAGGTCGCCCCCACAGCGCCCAAAAGCCTCCAAGATGGCCTCAGGACTGCCCAAGATGCCCCAGAACGGCCCCAAGACGGCACAAAGAGGACCCAAGAGGCCCCCAAGACGCCCAAGATGGCCTCTAAGACGGCCCTGGAGCACCCCAAGAGGGCCCCAAGTCGGCCCAGAAAGGCCCCCCGAACGGCTTCCGACGGCGTCAGACGGGCCAGGAGCCCACCAAGATGGCAGAAGTTGGCTCGAAGCTGGCCCAAGACGGCCCAAGAGGCCTCCAAGAGGGCCTCCTGAAGGGCCAGAAAAGGCCAAAAACACTGATTTCCCATGGGTTTTCGAAGGATTCTGACATTTGCTTCGTTTCGGCCTTCCGAAGGCCCGATACGGCCCAAAAGCCCCCAAAGATCGTCCAAGAGGCCTCCAAGATGGCCCCAGAACGGCCCAAGAGGCCCCCAAGACACCCCCAAGAGGCCCCCAAGACGGCCAAGGAGGCTTGTAAGACGCCCAGGATGGCTTCCAAGACGGCCCTGGAGCTTTCCAAGAGGGCCCCCCCCAAACGGCTTCCGACTGCGTCGGACGGGCCAGGGGCCCACCAAGACGGCCGAAGATGGCACTAAGATGGCCCAAGACGGCCCAAGAGGCCTCCAAGAGGGCCTCCAGGAAGGCCCGAAAAGGCCAAAATCATTGATTTCCCATAAGTTTTTGAAGGATTGTGGCATTTGCTTTTTGTTCTGCCTTCCGACGGCCCGAGACGGCCCCAGTGCCCCCAACGATCGCCAAAGAGGCCCAAGACGACCCCAAGAGGCCCCCAAGACTGCCCAAGAGGCCTCCAAGACGCTCAAGATGGCCTCCAAGACGGCCCAAGAGCCCTCCAAGACGTCCTCCAAGAAGGCCCGAAAGGGTCCAAACGGCCTCCAGGCGGCCAAGGTGACCTTCAAGATGCCCACGTGTTCCCCGAAGGCTTTCCAAACCGATTCGGGGAACACGTGGTCCGATAGCTTGGCAGGTCTGGCCTCAACGTTTGGCCACATAGGGGCTTCCAAAAAGGCAGGGGGGGCGGCGGTGACTCGCCGTAGGCGTCTTATATACATATACATGTATATGTATATGTGTATATGTGTGTATGTATGTGTGTGCATACATACATACATACACACACATACATATATGCATGCATACATACATACATGCATACATACATGTATACATATACATATATATATATATATATATATATATATATATATATATGTGTGTGTGTGTATCGATATGTGTACATATATGCATATATGTACATATATATATATATATTCATGTACATACATACATACATACATACATGCATACATGTATGCATACATACATACATAACTGTATACATGTATGAATACATACGTGCATGCATGCATGCACAAATACATATATGCATACATGCATGTACATATGCATATACACAAACATATACATATATGCATATATATACATATAAATACACAAATGCATGCACGTATACACATAAATATACATATATACACAATTACATCGACATATACATAAACATATAGATAGACATGTAGATATACAGATACGTGTACATATGCATACACACACATACACATAGGCATGTACATGTACATATTCATGTGTATATACATGTGCATGAGCATAAACATAAACATTAACATATACAAACACATCTCAAAACACATATGCATACATATATGTATGCATATACATGCACAAGCACACATACATCTACATATGCATATATGTGTACACATATACATATACATAGACATATACCTATATGTGTACATCAACATAAGCATATAGATATACATGTGCATATACATATTCCCGTACATACACACCTGCATATACATGTACATGACATGATTATATGTATACGTACATACATACATGCATGCATGCATGCATACATACACACATACGTACATACATACATACATACACCCATACATCTATACATATACCTACAGACATACATACAAACATACATACATACATATATATATATATATATATATATATATATGTATACACATGTGTGTGTATGTGTGTCCGCCGGCTCCCTCTGGGGGCGCAAGGCTGCGAAGGTGTATACGGTCTGCTGCCATGTGTTATGTGTTGTCATTTGTTGTTTGGCCTTTTGTCTCTCCAGTCCTGTTTCCTACCTCCTGTTTACTGTCTGCTAGGGGCCCCGCCGCGCCACCAAACAGCCAACGTGAGGGGGTGAACCTCAAATCCTGGCTGCTCCGGCCCACCCCAGGATTCTCATGTTGACGCCACCGCGCGGTCAGAACGGCCCGAGAGGCCTCCAAGATTGCCCGAAGAGGCCCCGAAGAGAGCCTCAGGAGGTCAAGACGACCCAAGATGGCCCCAAGACTGCCCAAGATGCTCCCAAGACGGCCCAAGATGCCTCCAAGAGGCCTCCCAAGAGGGCCCCATGAAGCAAAAATCAACGATGTTCCTAGCGTTTTTGAAGGGGGTTGGCCTTCTCGCCGTCGCGGCTTTCCGACGCTCAGAGACGGACCAAGAGGATCCCAAGATCGCCCCACGACGGCCGTAGAAGCCCCCTATGACGGCCCAAGAGGCACCCAAGACGGCCCCGAGACGGCCGAAGAGGACCCCAAGACGGTCCAAGAGGCGCCCCAGACGGCCCAAAAGGGCCCTAAGACGGTCCCAGACGAGGCCCAAGAGGGAGTCCACGGACCGAAAACTCGACCTTTCCGCCCCGAGAGGGCCCCAGGAGGCCCCAAGCAGGCCCCAAGAGGCCCCAAGAGGTCCCCAAGATGGCCCCGAAGAGGCCCCAAGGAGACCCCAAAGAGACCCAAAATATGCTCCAAGAGGCTCCAAAACGGCCAACAATAACCCGCAGACGCTGCCGAGAAGACTGCAACGAGAAGCACCCACGGCGCTTTCCACGCAGCCGCACGCACTAGTTGGCGGCAGAGGGCAAAGCCCTCAAGAGAGAGAGAGAGACGTAAATATACATATACATATACATA